GGGCCCCGCCCCTCTGTCTTCCCCTCGGTCCCTGCTCCCTCAGCCCCGCGCCGCCAGCCTCCGGTACCTTGAGCGTCACGTCGCACAGCTTGCCCTGCCGGCGGATCTCCTCCATGACGCCGTAGCCGCGACTCGGCAACTCGGACACGGAGAAGTGCACCAGGTCCTCCAGCTCCTCCGCGCCGTCCTCCACCATCTTCACCCGTTTACGGGCCTGCTCGGCCGCCGTAGTCGGAGCCGGTTCTTCGCCGGAAGCCCTGCTGCCCCGCTTCCTGGTTCGTGCGCAGCTTTCGTTCCCTTGCTGTCTCGACCCTTGTCTCGCACCTGCAGCTGCCGCATTCTTCCTAGAATCAGCGATCCCATCTCCTGTTTTCCTGATGCTGCCCTGACCTTACTCGTATCTCCACCGAGGACCGCGGACTTCATTTCCGCCACTACCTCAATACTTCCGGGACCTCCGGAAGCGGCCCGTTGCCATGGCGACCGTGTACACAACCTGGCAGCTGCGCGCGCGGGTTTTCCTTCGCAGCAGTTGCAGTGGTGGTGCTGCGGCAGGACTGCTGCCTCTGGGGCGGTAAGCAGGGCCCACGCGCCGCCGGGGTGGGGTGAAGGGAGGTCGGAGAGGAGTGGGTGTACGCCGGGGCGGCGGGCAGCGGCTGAGATCCGAACATCGCTCCACCCAGGAGTTCCCCAGCATCGCTCCCTGACCGGTGAAACCCGGGCGCAGCATCGCGGGGTGGCCCTTTCAGACTGGCTGAGGCTTAGAGTCTTCAGATCTAACGTTCCCTGTCCCCACGAGGGTCCTACGTCGCGCCCGAGATTCCGAGGATGCGAGGCTGGGAGCCAGAGGTATTCCAGGCTCTTCTGCTCTTAACGGTTTTCAGGCTCGCCAGTCCGAGCCCTTTGCTTTACAGATGAGAAAACTGCTCCAGAGAAGGACAGGGATGGTCCTAAGGCCCACTGCCTCCCAGACTCCACATAGGGGTCCGACATGTTGGGTGAGGAAAGGAGAAAGGCCAGTTTCTGCGTGGATCCGAGTATTTTGTTTAGCCCAAGGCTGGGTGCGTTTGGACCCTGTTTTGGGCTGGTTCCGATGCTGCTGCCGCTCTGGCTATGAGGTTTCCCGTGAGAGTCCCTGGCCTTGGCAGGAGCGCTGTAAGATAGGAACTCACCTGGTACCCACCTTCCCCGCGTGTGCCCCCTCTCCTTTTATTGAGCCGTCAGGTGCTTGGGGGCAATTCTATCCCCCCCCCAAACAAACGAAGACACCCCGAGCCTCTACAGCAGGGGGCTTCCTGGTGGCCACTCAGAAATATCTAATGGTAGCAGCCCCGTGAGGGAGCAGCATTCCCCACAAGGACCTGCGGGAGGCGGGCCTCACTAAAGGGAGGGCGTGGTGAAGGGGGCAGAGCATCGCTTCTTGAAAGTGGTGCTTGGAAAGTGAGTGTCCTCCTAGAGGGGCTGTGGGCTTCGGGGTGGGTGTGGGAGGGGAGTGGCCTTTCATGCCCCTGGGGACTCTCTCAGTAGTGACCGAGGATGGACCCACATGTGGAGACGCAGCGCCCCTCTGACTTCCAGCCATGACCGTCACCACCCACCACCATTTCTTGGGCACCTGCTCTGTGCTGGGGACTGCTGTGGACCTTGAGGGGGGATTCACATAAAAGGCACAGTCCTTTCCCCCAGCAGCCTGTCATGTCATTGGGGAGCCGAAACCTGCTCAGATGATGTGGCGTAAGAACAGTAACAAGCATCTCAGTAAGTGCGAGGTGCATGGGGTCCCCAAGGTCTGGGTGCCGAGGGGCTGCTGAGTAGCAGAGGTGCAGGAGGGTGCAGTGAGTAGAGAAGCAGAGAAGGCTTGCCTCTGGGGATGGGCATGGCTCCTGGCATACGTGGGGCCATGGGTGTGAGCACGGGGAGGGCCTTGGGCAGCACAGACAGGCGACTGCATGTGCATGTTGGCCAGTTGCATGGTAGAGAAGGGGCCGGCTCTGAGGGGAGGGTGATGCTTGGAGATGGCCTGCGCGGCCCTTGTGCGGTCCGTGGGTGGGGGCTGCCAAGAGGGACCTGTGGGCACCGACCCCCAGAGGCGGCCCTAATAGGTACCTCTCAGGAGGAGGATGGTCCCTCAGACTGCTCTGGGGAATGGTTCCCAGAGCTTTAGAGGTTGAGGGTGTTTGCTGGAGTCAAAACACACCTCCCTCTACTCTCAACTTCCCAGTAATCTCCACCAAAGTGAACTTAGAGGGGAGAGGTTCTCTTCAGTTTCTTCAGCTCGGAGCTGGTGTTAGAGCTACTTGTGGCTTTTCGTTTCTCAAGATCAGTTTTGCCGACAAGGATTTCAGGACTGAAATTGGACAAGCCGTGACCTCTGCTCACCTGAGGGCCTTTCACATTCGTTTTCTAACAATTAAAAGGTCTGAATGCTCCCCTGGCGGAAAAGACGTTCATGCCGTCATCACCTGAGGCATGTCGAGGTGGACACACTCTACAACAGGCAAATATGAAAGTAACTCGTTTGCTGACTTGATCCGACCTCTGACAGGCTTGTAACTGGGGTTGGAGTTTTATGTCCACATCGTTGACACTAAACAGAAAGGGCAGGGCCTGTCTCTGTTTAACTTGCTTCTATAGGTACTTAATGCCACCTGAGAGTGAATATAATTAAGAGAGGAGATCAAGTGGTCACCACAAGTGGTGTCTAGAGGTGTGGAGGGACATCCATGTTTTTAAAACATCGAATCGTTTTTAGCCAGTAACAGTCACTGAACCTCTCTTAGATAATACATGTAAAATGTTACCATTTATATTTAATGTGCTTTTAAAAAATGCAATAATGAACTTTAACTAAAAGACGAAATCCGGCCCCGACAAGTGTGCCTCAGTGGTTAGAAGGCTTATGGGTTCAATTTCTGGTCAAGGGCACATCCCTACCTGGGTTGCAGGTTTGGTCCTCGGCCCCAGTGGGGGCAAGTGCAGGAGGCAACCAATCGATGTCTGTCTCTCACATCAGTGTTTCTCTCTCTCTTTCTCCCCCCCTCCTTCCTCCCTCCCTCCCTCTATTTCTCTCTCAAAAAACAATGGAAAAAATATCCTCAGGTGAGGGTTAACAAGCACAAAGAAGAAGGAATCTGTCCTGGCTTTTTCTTTACAATAAAGCTCTTGGAAATTAGCTTTTAAAACCTATGAAACATCATGTCAGTTTTGCAATAGCCCACAGTGTTAGAGCGCTTTGCAATGCCCCAGCAAGCTGTTTTTCTCTTAATAATTCTGTTGATAATGCTTTTCTCCAATTTGAAGGTGAAATGGAGTCAGCTCCGTGTGCCTCATGCTTTCCTAATTCCTCATAAAGTCAGTAAATTCCTTTGTTGGTTGTCTTTTCCACAAGCATCCAGGCATTTTCTTTAGCCTCAACTCCTCTCTCCTGCCCCAGGAAAGTACCGGTTATTTTAGGGGCAACAGGGCAGAGCTGGTGGTGAGTAATGGAGTCCCCTTCCTTCCTTCCTTCCTTCCTTCCTTCCTTCCTTCCTTCCTTCCTTCCTAAATAGTTTTATTGATTTCAGAGAGGAAGGGAGAGGAAGAGAGAGACAGAAACGTCAATGATGAGAGAGAATCATTAGCCAGCTGCCTCCTGCACGCCCCGCACTGGGATCGAGCCCACAACCCGGGCATGTGCCCTGATCAGGAATCGAACTGTGACCTCCTGGTTCCTAGGTCGACGCTCAGCCACTGAGCCACACCAGCTGGGCTCCTTTCTGATTGAACTGATCCAACCTGGCAGGGAGTTCGAGAGAGAAGCATCTGACACACACACAGCCTCCTTCAACTTTGCCTCTGTTCAGAGTCGTTTTGTACACATGGAGCATTAACTGTAAACGAGCTGTTAGCATTCTGCCTTTAGATTTATGGTTCCATAAAGTGAAATTATTGAAATTTCAGAGCCCAGTCTTAAGACTGCATGACCACAAACTACTTGATGGTATTCAAATTATTTTTTAAAAGGAGAAAGAAGGAAAGAAAAATATATTCGGTGGTCCTAGAAAAATTTGTTAAATTAGAAATTTTGGAACCATTTTAAAAACCTTGGAATAATTTAAAATCGTATTATGTTCATTTTCCCAATAGTTTTGAACAATGAGATCATTTTGTATATTTTGCTAGGCCTGTATCATGTGTTCTAGTATGACTTAATTAGGGTGAGTGCAATTGGTAATTACAGATAGGTTTTTACTTAGCTTTTCATAGAGCTCTTGACATTTTCTCTCAATATTTAATCCTTTTTATCAGGGTATAAGAGGCACCTAAAGGGTTGATTGTTTGTTTTTCATTGATTTCAGAGAGGAAGGGAGAGAGAAACATCAATGATGAGAGAGAATCATTGATTGGCTGCCTCCTGCACGCCCCCTACGGGTAAGGGGTGGGGGGGATGGAGCCCACAACCCGGGCATGTGCTCTTGGCCAGAATCGAACCTGGGACCCTTTAGTCTGCAGGCCGACGCTCTATCCACTGAGCCAAACCGGCTAGGGCGAGAGTTGATTGTTTTTTAAGTTCCCCTTGAGACAATAGGAATCTGTGCAATTATTACTTCTATTTAATAACCCTTTTGCTTCTATACTCGATGTCAATGCTAGAACCAAAACTTACTGTCTAATTAGTGTTAAATGCTCTGTGCAGACACTGTCAGGAGAGCAGGCCTAGTGTAATTTGACAGTGAGACTAATACCCAATAAAGACGAGACTTCATAGTTATCCTTGGAGGGTTGTACAATTCAGTTGTGGTTTTTATTTTTTTATTTTTCTTTATTGTTGAAAGTATACAGGTGTCCACTTTGGTTTTTGTGAGTGTGTGAGTGTGTGTGTGTGTGTGAGTGTGTGTGTGTGTGTGTGTGAGTGTGTGTGAGTGTGTGTGAGTGTGTGTTTCCGCATTGACCCCTCCTCCTTGCACCCACCCTCCCAAGCCTGCGCCACACTATTGTCTGTCCGTGGGCTACGCATATAGGCATAAGTTCCCCGGTTCATCTCTCCCCCCACCACACACACGCACACCCCACACACACCTTCCCTCTGATATTCATCAGTCTGTTCATGGTTCTATGTCTCTAGATCTATTTTGTTCATCAGTTAATTTTATTTATTAGATTCCACATATGGGTGAGATCATGTGATACTTACCTTTTTCTGACTGGCTTATTTCGCTTAGCACAATGCTCTCCAGGCCCATTCATGCTGTTACAATTCTGTTTTTAGAAATATTTATACTTTGATATTTGGGTAGGATCTTAGAGATCAGTTAACTCTCCCGTTTTGTAGCATCTCTTGAGTTTGCTTTACTGCTTGTGGAGTTTATGGTCCTGCCTTGAGAACATGTTTTCCATTATAGGACAGCTCTATCTATTAGGAGGGTCCTTTACTTAAATCGCCCCCCATCCCTTGTATCTATAAGCATTCTATCAGACATTTATTTCAGCATTTCATTAGTCATGGTAATTATTTGTGATCATACAAATACAGGATTACACATATAGGTGTTTCTGTCTGAAAGAAGATGGTGAGACTCCAGTTAGTTTCAGGAGAAGAGGAAGGAGGGGACTATCTGTGGTTTTTTCTCGATGGAGTGCCGGAGAAGAAAGAATACTTGATTATGAGCTAGCGGGTTGCGGGCTCGATCCCCAGTGGGGGGCGTGCAGGAGGCAGCGATCATGATTCTCTCTCTCACTGATGTTTCTCTCTCTCTCCCTCTCCCTTCCTCTCTGAAATCAATAACACTATTTTTTTAAAGAAGAGAATTAGTTTTAATGCTTTTCATGGTAAGTACGTTCAAGAAAAATACAGTGAACAGTGGACTCAGACGCGGAGCAGTTCTAGAAACCACACCTGAGACGGGCGCGGGAGGGCTGGGGCAGGAGGGAGCGTCTGAGCCTTTACTCCAGTCTCCTAGGGGTGGGGTCGAGGGTGGGCACGACACGGCCACCTGGAGAGCAGGAGGTCCTGTGGGCAGAGCCCTGAAATGCGCCGGGGGAGAGGGAGATGGCTCCCGGGGACTGGACACCACTCCTTCCTCCTCTGCCTGGGGAGGGACAGCCTCTCGCTGTGGCCTGGGGAGGGACAGCCTCTCGCTGTGGCCTGGGGAGGGACAGCCCTCGCTGTGGCCTGGGGAGGGACAGCCCTCGCTGTGGCCTGGGGAGTGACAGCCCTCGCTGTGGCCTGGGGAGGGACAGCCCTCGCTGTGGCCTGGTGACGGACAGCCCTCGCTGTGGCCTGGGGAGTGACAGCCCTCGCTGTGGCCTGGGGAGTGACAGCCTCTCGCTGTGGCCTGGTGACGGGCGGCCGCTGACACTGTCCTGTTTTCCTCTCCAGCGAGGATGAGCACGAGGAAGAAAGTGCACGCGTTTGTCCGTGTCAGACCCACCGACGACTTTGCTCATGAAATGATCAGATACGGCGATGACAACAAAGTAAGTGCGACGCGCGTGCCCTCGCTGCCTCTCTCCGTCCGCCTCGCTCGCTCGGGTGATCAGACAGGACTCCAGGGTCCCCCAGGCCCAGCCATTCCCCTGCGATGCTGTTGGTGAGGAAACTCCCCACTCCCAGTTTCCATCGTCGTCTTGGTTAATAAGTTTCCCTTTAGCCCTGGCCGGTGCGGCTCAGCGGGGAGAGCGCGGCCTGCGGACTGAAGGGTCCCGGGTTCGATTCCCATCAAGGGCACAGGCCCAGGTTTCGGGCTCGATCCCCAGTAGGGGGGCGTGCAGGAAGCAGCCGATCCATGATTCTCTCTCATCATTGATGTTTCTATCTCTCTCCCCCTCTCCCTTCCTCTCTGAAATCAATAAAAATATTTTTTTAAATAATAATAAAGGCGCCCCTGTGCTAAAGCAGTTTAGTAAGAACATGGTGCATGTGCTTGACCCCGTATCAGAGGTGGGGCCACGACATCCCCCTGTGAACCGGGGAGAGATGGGTCCGCACTGCCCCTCCCTCCTTCCCTCCCTCCCTCCCCAGGAAGTCACCCAGACATGAGCCTGCCCAGAGCCCCTGTCCTTCCCAAGGGTCACCTCACCTCCCCCTCGGCCGTCGGTGATTTTTTTACGCCAATTTACAGCCATTTCCTAACAAATACGCATTTATCTCCCCGTCTCCCTCTCCCTCCCTCCCTATCTCCTCTCTTCCTAGACCATCGATATTCACTTAAAAAAAGATACTCGGAGAGGAGTTGTCAATAACCAGCAGACAGACTGGTCCTTCAAGCTGGACGGAGTTCTCCACGACGCCTCCCAGGACCTGGTCTACGAGACCGTGGCCAAGGACGTGGTTTCGCAGGCCCTCGACGGCTACAACGGTAACTGCGCGCATTAGCTGTGTGACCCGTGGGACAGAACCCTGTGGGGCCCTTCGAAGAGGGGCACGCATCCCGCGGTGAATGAATAAATCCTCGTGGTGCCATGCGGGCCTGGCTTGGCCCAGGTCCGGGCCCTGCCTGCCTGCACAGGAATGACCGGGCTCTGGGTCGCGGGGGGCTTCACCCTCTGTGTTGCCACACAGACTAGTTGGGAAGACAATGCCCTCGCGATGCGTTTGATGGATGCAGACGTTGTCCTCTAAGCTACCTGCTGGGTGTTGTTGCCATTCGTTCCATCAGCACAGTCGACTGTTTACGCTCCTGTATTGGACTGTGTGTGAATATAGCGCTAAAAACATGAGTAACGTTTGATTTCTTTTTTCTTTATTTTTTAATATATTTTATTAATTTTTTACAGAGAGGAAGGGAGAGGGATAGAGAGCCAGAAACATCGATGAGAGAGAAACATCGACCAGCCGCCCCCCGCACACCCACCACTGGGGATGTGCCTGCAAGCAAGGCACATGCCCCCGACCGGAATCGAACCCGGGACCCCCCCCCCCCAGTCCGCAGGCCGACGCTCCATCCACTGAGCCAAACTGATCAGGGCACGTTTGATTTCTTAACAAATTAAAAGCAGCAGCATCAGGAAATTTTTACAAACTTGTTCAGTGTAAGATTGTTTTGAAATCTTTTTTTTTTCTTTCCCCTTTTAAAGATTTAAAAATCCTTAGCACATATCACAGTTTGTAGGCTTTGCTCACTTGGTGGCTGCAGACTAGAATGTTCCCTGTTTACAACGCTTAGGTCTGTGAACAGCCCCTGCGCCCTGGCTGAGGGGCTCGGTTGGTTAGAGCGTCATCCCTCGACGCCAAGGGTCCGTCCCGGTCCGGGCACATCCAAGGAGCGGCCAATGAGTGTGTCAATAAGTGGAACAGCAACTTGATGTTTCTCTCTCCCTTCCCTTCGCTCTGAAATCAACACATAAAGATGAACCTTTTTAAGAAGGCCCTGGAGCGGAGATGCTCAGACACTGTAAACCCTCCCTGTGGTCACGTCGGTGTGGTCCTCACTGACCCGCGGGGTGTGGCCCGGAGGCGGCAGAGACAGGAAGTGAGGCCCGGGAGGTAAAAACCACAAGTGGGTCCTGAGTCCCAGCCCACGTGACTCCTTCCTGCTCACTTGTGTTGGGTCAGTAGACACTCGATCTGGGTTCCAACGCACATTCTGGATTTAGGTGGTTGGTAAAAATCTGCCCATCCCAGACATGCAGCATCCGTTCGGCAAAGCAAGCTCTGGTTCCCATGGCACCGCAGTGCCTGGTGGGTCTGCTGTGTGAACCCCAGGAGCAGCCTTGGGCACAGGGTCTGGCACCAGCCGCCCAGGAGGAGGAGCAGGTGGGAGCCTGAGCCCGGGCCCCCCGTGGAGCCTGGGGTGACGTGGCCTGAAGGACGTGAGAGGTGCAGGTGGAAGCGTCCCCGAGGGCAGGGGCTCCCGGTCACCTGCCCGGGGTGTCTGCTTCCGGAAGTGGAAGGGGCCTCCTGGCAGCCCCGTTCGGTGCTGTGGGAACCTGCAGTCTACAAAGAATTCTCACCATTGGCGGGAAATGCCTTTTCCACCCCATCTCTTCCTGGGCATTTCAACGCCCTTGCCTCCTGCCCGGCCAGCCCCTCAGGGAGGCCTCGCCCTGAGCCCCTGGCAGCGCAGGGCCTTGCTGAAGGAGGGCTGGAGTTCTGCCCTGGCCGGTGCGGACTGAAGGGTCCCGGGTTCGATTCCGGTCAAGGACACAGGCCTGGGTTGCGGTCTCGATCCCCAGTAGGGGGCGTGCAGGAGGCAGCTGATCAATGATTCTCTGTCATCATTGATGTTTCTATCTCTCTCTCCCTCTCCCTTCCTCTCTGAAATCAATAAAAATATATTTAAAAGTCTATAATAATAAAAGCATAATATGCTAATTAGACTGGACAGCCGAATGTCGAATGACCTTCCCGACGTCCTTCCGAACGACCTTACGGACGAAGCTGGGGCTGCAAGGGCCAAGCCCCTAGCACGAATTTCGTGCATCGGGCCTCTAGTAAAAATAAAAATAAAAAATCAGTAGAAAAACGGGTGAGGATTAACCAAAAAAAAAAGAAGGGCTGGAGCTCAGTCCTTTCCAGCTCTCCTCCTCTTCCCGGGACCCCGCCCCCCCTCTCCCCGAAGCCCTGGGTCAGATCTCTTGGTGGAGGGAACAGCAGAGCACCTGGTGGACCTCGGATTCAGAGCAGCTGCCTGTGTTTTGAGCATTTATGTCCCCATTTCCCTGCCCACCCACCCTCCATGGCAGGAAATCCCGGTCTCTGCGGAGGCTCCCGATGGCCACCTCC